AAAGAGACACCCCCTCCAGTGATAGTGGTGACTCGCTAAGAATCAAAGTAGGGAAAAAATCATATGATACCTATCTTACAGACAAATCTTAGAGAGAAAATCACACCAGTACTTGCCTGCCTGCCGGAAAACTCTTTCATTTCTACTATTACACCACCAGTACCTTTGACCATTCCATTGCCGAGCCTGGAAACACTCAGCGCACCAGACAAAAAACGAACCGGTGCCCGAAAAATGGCATGGCTGGCAAACGCACTGTGATTTACATTTTAATTCCTGTTCCATTCCATCCTGCTTAGGGCGGCCATGCATGACCCCTCACTTCCTCTACCCCTCCAGCGATATGCTCGTCTACAACCGCGCATCAGTGACGTGACCTCGTGGAGCAAAGGAACAAAAGGGGCAGACCCAGAGCTAAGGTCATACCCACACTACTCTTCTTGATCTATCTGAGAGCAGTTTATATTCAGATTCAATTGAAAAACTTCTTTTGAGATGATACACAAGACCCTGACTTCCGTTTGGGAGGTGACAGTGTGTATGGTGGAAACATGCCTTCTCAATCCCATGCACATTGCTGGGTTTGCGATGAAGGTTCACAAACCAACAGTGGCCAGACAATCAGCAGCACTGTTCGGTCACAAACCCAACATCCAGACTGAGACTTCAAGCATGTTAAAACCAACACACCCCCAGCTTAAAGATGATCCAACCATACAATCCCCTGATCACAAATCATCGTCTCCTTTGGCCCACCACTTGAGATCAATATCCAATCACAGGGTTCGAAAGAGAAGTGATTGTTCTCTTCAGTAACCAAACATGGGTCAGGGTATGCCAAGGAAACATTCCTGTTAGGGCCTTGCTCCACACCACTCGAGTTCAAGAGCGAAGCGAAAAATCATCATTCTACAACCGCCCCCCTCCCCCACCCCCTCTTAGAGGGGCCCGCTTTGTTTCCACTTTTTTGCGTCCCAAGGGTGCGGCCTTGGAACTCAAGGGCGACACAGCCAAAATCGCCCTTGAAGAATTCAAGTCACCTCCCGGAGGTACCTTGAGTTCAAGTGCCAGTGGATACCGCCAGCACTCCAAGTGGGGCTTTTTTTCTTCCTCGTCTTCTTTTCCAGCAGGCGATCCTGGTCCAGGACCAGTCAAGCCGTGGAGTTCGGTTTCAAGTGCAGCCTGTTCAAGGGTACCATAAATCGAGTAAGTGTAAATTAATGATTAATCAAAATTTCTCGCTCAGTGTGCACCTGAAAAGTGGTGTCGAACAAGGCTCTTAGTCTCTTAACCTACCACTCCCTGCTTAGCAATGTTTTGCACTAACCAGTAGCGGCACGGATCAGATAAATGAAAAACTTACAACCACAATCCCTTTTCCCTTTCCGCCACACGGGACCTTTTTCTTCCATTTTTATTTTTTCCCCCCAAGAAAGTTAGCACTACATCTGCGAAGCTGATCTTTAAAGATTTTTTTATCAACAAAATTTTGAGCACAAAGAGTCCCTAGAGTTCACCCAGGACGTATCCCTGTTAGCTTTTACATATTAGACCCCAGTCCCTTCTTAGCAAATTGTGGGACAAACGAGTAGGGGCAGGGGCTTATAAACATGCAAACCAACCTTCACCAACACAATTTTTTCACCAACCAGAACCTTTCTTTTTTTTCGATTTTTTAAATATTTCTCCCCAAACAATTAGCACTAAATCGGAAATCCGCACCCCTCAGTCGTTTTTCACCAACAATTCAGAGCGCAAAAGGATCCCCAAGGTCGAGGAAATTCCGCACTCTGCCAGTGACCCCCACTTCCCTCCCCCCCCCAAGAAGATAGGCCACCTCGTCCCACAGTCGGCTCGGGCGCTACCCTGACTTTGGGGGAGTGGTCAGCCTGGAGGCTCCCCACTGCACGCCAAGCTTAGCCAAACCACCAGCTGCACACTTCTTTGCCTTTCATGCTGGTGCCGCAAACCATTGTGGACCGGCATGCCCAAGGCGCTTAAAATTTGTATGTGTGCGACGAGGGTTCATTTTAAGGCTGGCGGTTTAAGACTTTAAACCACCACTGCCTCCATACAAATTTTGCTGAACCTTCCCTTTCGTCCAATCCTGGCATTCCCAAACATCAGCTACCTCCAGCAGTGCCCCGCCATCGAGAGACCCGCCATCAAGATAATTGGAACTGTTGGCTTTCCAGATGGCAATCCAACATAGAATGTTTTCCAACGCTGAGGAATACCTCCACTTGGCCTCGTCCAGACTACCTCGTGCCCTCGCACCCTCCCTGTATATCGTGGCACCGCCAGCCAAAATACAGTGACGGACTTGGGAGGAGAGTGGCGGTTCGCATGGGGGGAGCAGTCACTACATGAAATTATGCGGAGTGCTCACACTGATCTCTAAGTAATGCAGATCTTGCTTCACCATTCAAAGCATTTCTGTTGACACAAAATGGAGATTCCAACTGCCAAAAATGGAGGGGGGGGAAATGGAGATTCCAATATCTGTAACTTGTGATGATCCATACGTCAAGAGTTCAATCCATGCGCGATAGCAGAGAAAGACGGAAAAAGTCCGACAGGGCTGTTTTGAGTTTAAACGTCGTCCCTGCGTAACCGCATAAAAAGACCGATAGGACTCTTGAGTTTAAATTTCATCAACTACCCCTCAGTTTCTTCCTTTTTTCTTTCAACAAACCAATTGCCCCTAACATTATTATTGTCCCCCTCACAAGCTGTTCATCAACATTTTTAAGACAGGTTCCTTTTTCTTTGCGCTAGCCCATTTGAAAGCTGTTATTAATAGTAGACTGATTTGGAAAAACAAAAAGCAGCAAATGAGACTGCTTTGGGAAAAGAAAAATAAAGACTCGAGATCTACCAAGGGCACCCTCCTCTGCTGAGTTATATTGCTTAAATTGGGTGCGTGCTCCCGTCCAAACTGATGTCGACCAAGGGAATTTTCGTTGTTTTATATTCCTCCACTGAGTTAAATACTTCGGGGGGTGCTCCGATGTGACCTGAGATCAACCAAGGGGATTTCTCATCCTCAGCTTAGTTATACGCTTAAACTGGGCAAGTGCTCCGATCCGGCCTGAGTTCGGCCAAGGGAATCCTCAAAAAGGGCTTTTTCAAAAATCCATGCGAGTCTCAAAAAGTTCTTATAGCCAATAAATTTTGGATGGTCGGTTTCGGGATCCTTTGGGCAGCTATACAAGAAGGGAGATTCAACAGTAAATTCAGGTCTGATATCACCAGTATGGTTCCACTTGTGTACACCAAGCCATCATAAACCATCCATAAAACAGTAGCAGCATAAACAGCCAATGCAATAGAAAATGCAAGGTTCCCAACGTTTGAGTGGTTGAGCGGGAAGGGCCCACACACCCGTCTGCCGCGGAAGTGGCACACTTGCAGAGACAGAGGGAAGCTTTCAATCGTCTTTTTGTGGCGTGCAGGGCAATTTCGGGCCTGCGGCCGATGTACGGGCCAAGTACTACTGTCGGTTTAAAAGGGATTTTCTTCTGTTTCCAGATCGCCATGAGAGGTCTTTCAGCTAAAAAAAAAACTACTCCCGGTTCTCGGCTCGCAAAAAAAGAAACCACACACAACTGTCGGGCCAGGAAAACGAAACCACACACAACCAGGCAGAAGGGGATCCAAACCCACCCACGTGGAAACCTTTTTGGTTTCACACGCCCAAACTTTTCCCGTTTGGCAAGAAGGGTCCACCGGGTACACAGGCCATCAGATGTTAACATCTGAAGGCCGAGATCGGGTCCGGACGGCTTGGCCCCTTCCTACAGGACATTGCACCTGGCGCTGTATCTGCGCTAGAGTAATTTTCAGGTAGGCCTTTCTTGCCAAATGGGAAAAGTTTGGGCGCACCAAACCAAAAAGGTTTCCGCATGGGCGCTTTCCACCAATTATCCCTGGAGGGGATCTTCCTCCTTTCCAGATTGCTGCGAGTGGCCTTTCCCCTCCGAAAAACCATTCCGTCCATTTCTTGGCTAAAAAAAAAAGCCGAGGAACATGAAACCAAACTCGAGTCCTGCACCGTCGCCTCAGTTCTAAATCTACTCACCCCATAGCCTACGGTCTTACTCACCGAAGGACTTTCTCGACTGCATCTGGACACTATCCAGCCTAAGGACTTTCTCGACTGCATCTGGACACTATTCAAGACAACTGGGACAAAGACAGAACGCCCAATTGAGTGCCAGATGTCTGATAGCTAAGGAAAGCCACAGCACACAGGCTTCCCCAAGCTGTAGGCTCTGAGTATGCCTTGCAGCCGTTGGGGTCGGGCATTTCCATCTCTCTGGAAGGCGGTTTATACTCCCGTCTCCCCTTCCAAAGTTTCTGCATTGGTACTTTACTACTGAAACCGTATGGCGTCGGCTGATTGGCCATTCAAGCACAATCCTAAGTGACTGCTGACTGCCTCAGCAAGAATGCTAACCTGAACTCGTCCACTTTCTCAGCTTAAGTTCTGTGTCTCAGATGTACCTACAATGGCACTTGATCTTCACTGGATGGCAGTGCTGTAATCCACTTTCTACTTCTACTGAAATGTATGGTGTCAGCTGGTAGGCCGTTCGAGCACAATCTCTATATACCTGCTGACTGCCTCAACCAGTAGATGCTACTCATCCACTTTCTCAGGTTGAATTCTCTATCTCAGATTCCCTTCCTACGTCATTGCTCAGCAGTTAAATAAACACACACACACACACAAACACACACACACACACACAACCCATCAAAAGTGGGTTTCACACCTGACTGATAATGGGATTAGGTTGAAGGAAACTGGAGAAGACAGGAATTAAGATAAGCGCGCAAATGGTTGACACAAGGTTACGGCTGTAAGATTGCCACATGTCCTGGCAAAAGAGGGTTAGCAAAGTCAACTTGACTACGCTTACATCAGCCGACCATTAGATTATAAAGACAGAACTCAGAGAAAGGCTAAATAAAGCGTGCAAATGAAGGGCAATTACCTGACGGCCTGGAATATGGCATCAACTGCAGGCACAACCACCTTTGCAAGCTTATTCTTCGATGCTTCCTCCATCGCATCCTGATTCGCAGCAACATTTCACTCCAGATTATTAAAACGATACACATTTCCAGGGGCATCTCTCTCTCTCTCTCTCTCTCTCTCTCACACACACACACACAGAGGTCAATCTCTCTGTCGGGACAGAAAAGAGGAAGGATGATGCAACCTCTCCGGCACAGAAAAGAGGAAGGATGATGCACATGATGAGGGACAGTTCCAAGTATAGACCACTGTTATTACTGCATGTGTTTTGCATAACCTGGCATATAAAGGACAATATATTTTGCGTACAACATCATAAGCTCATGCAGGAGGGCATGCCAGCCAAGATGTCATACAGGCGTCAGCCAAACTCCAGGGAAAACAAGTCCAGCCACCTCCGGCCAGCAAAACCGACCAACACCTCCCCACCATTTTCAGCACGATTTCGAGAACACCACCAAGCTCCCTCCTTTGCACTTCCACAGTTTCTTGCTCCTCACAACGCTCTCTGACCTCATTGTACAAGGCTCTAACCAGAGAGAGAAACTGCAGTAGGAGAGAGAAACTGCAATAGGAGAGAGAAACTGCCGTCGGAGAGAGAAACTGCCTTAGGAGAGGGAGGTCATGCATATGCAGACACGCACCAGGAAAGCTTCGGAGGCCTCCAGTTCAACAAACAGAAGCAACGCATCCACTGATTTCTGCAGCGTCTTCGGCCTACCAACAAGGCACTTGGCCGCAATCGCATGGCAAACCTCCTTCCCATACCTGGTCTCCAACCCAGAATCATAACCCACACACCCAAATTACACCAACAGAACCCCATCAGCAAATTTCACATCATCCATTCTCAATCACTGGAATTACGATTCTTCTTCACTTTGTAAACCCTTATCGCATGAAAGAGAGAAGAAGAAGAGAAAAAAAAACCTCCGATATCTGCAAGGCAGCTGAGTGGAACACACATCTACATTTCATACCGACAAGGACGGACTCAGTCGGTGGTGGTCCCAGTGGATGATGGTTTCGTGAGAGGCAGCTGAGTTCAATCCTGGATGTTGGACACACGTACCTGTTGATAAAAAGGCCCAAAAAATATCACGTGAGTTCAATCCTGCAATCTCTCTACTCATCTTGTAACTGCAATTTCGTCAAAACGGACATTTCATACTTTTTTAAATGAAATTGAAACCTACTTATTTGGCCCAAAAAATAACACCGTCTTTCTCCTGAGGGTCCATTTGGACTTAACTGAAGTCATTTGGACTTGACTGAAGTTCGGGTACATCCTTACGGAGCTAAGACGGTGACACTGTAAGGGCCAAATAAGTGGGTTTCAATTTCGTTCAAAAAATATAAAACGACCGTTTTAACAAAACCACTGTTTTTTTTTCGCTTTTTTTTTTTAGGACGGAATTGAATGATATAATTCTGTTTCAAAACATATTACATTAAAAAAAAAAAAAAAGTAATATCGTGCATTGCTGGGAAGCTGAACATGGTCGTTGCATGTATCTAGGAGTCAAACCCAGTGCGCGCACCGTTCGTCTCTGCACGTGCTACCATTTCTTACACATTTCTTTATTAGTGATAAATAAATAAAAGAAAAAAAAAAACGCCTACCCTAACTACTGCACTGAGGACATTTGGTTACTTCACTTGTATTAATTGGTAATCACGATTGATTCCAGCCCTGATGGCTGTAGTAAGCGAAACTGGCTAATGCTGCCTGAATAACTCCGGGTAGAATTGTGAGGTCCCGGCCTCAAGTTGATGTTTTGCAAAATATAAATGATCTGTGCTTTTAAACAAAACAAACAAAAAAAAAAAAAACACTACTCCTGCAGAAGGATTCCATGCAATATATAAATGATATGTTGCTTTTAAAACAAAAATTCAAAAAAAAAAAAAACACTACTCCTGCAGAAAGGATTCCACGTGCTACGATCATAATGCATGTAGGCAGTTGCACGTCCCAGAGCAGATCGCGCACACTTTACCATTAATCCATCCAGATGCGTTACAATCCGCATAATCTGAGGAGGCTGACCCCTTTCATAAAAGGGTTACGTGTTCTCGTCATACCACGTTAAGATCTGCGAATTAGTTTAGGCTAGTACAGACAGTAGATAAGAGTAGAGGGTTTCGTTGGGGAATATATAGAGGGTTTCGTTGGGGAATATATATATACTAGTTTTTTTGAGGCATTGGGTATCCAGGTGTTCAAGACTGAAATGAGACAATCTTTTTGTCAAAGAAGAGAAGTTGAAAGCTGCTCTCAGCGTTCCCGGTAGAATTGCAAGGACCTCGGCCTCCTCTCTGATTTGATTATGCAATACGATTTGGATTTGTTAAAAATAAAAAACGCAGAGAAACTAGGCTCCCAGTGAAGATCAGCTCCTGGCCGGGTCTTTTCCCATCTACTACAAATCAAATCGGATCTTAGAAGCTTGCCTGACGGTTGCCTCTTAAACATTGGGCCTAATACACAAGGCGCCATCCGCCAAGATTTTTAATGCATCTTAACAACATGATGGCCACGTGCATTCGAAATGCTGGCGGATGGCCAGTAGCGCAACTACCTTCTTCCCCCGAATACAACGTACGGTCATTATAGCTGTATTTGAGGCATCCTTCAGTCTAGATACAGCTATAATGACCGTACGTTGTATTCGGGGGAAGAAGGTATGCCCTTCGACTGAAGATAGCGAGACTTAGGCCCGTTCACCCCGCTCGAAGAGCACGAGTCAATTAACTCAATTCGTTCTATTCGGGAGAAGACAATATTACTGCAAAAAGATGACTTTGTAGGGACAGGGTTCAACCAAGCGTGGAGTTGTTTTCCCCGGTTTCGGTCTTTTTACAGCGAAGGTTTTCTTGTCCGGTTTACTGGAGGGAAGGGCATATTTTTTAACAATTCATAGAAGGGCATATTATTCTTCTTTACTTCCATTAACAATTCATAAAAGGGCATATTATTCTTGTCGGTTTCCGTCATCTTGTAAGCCAGAAAAATGGAGAACCTGCTCAAGGAGAAGATATGAGGACACAATCGCCCATGCACTTTCTAAAATGAATGAATGTGACCGCCATTACGGCCCAAGCGGGATGCATCTGTATCACGTTCAGAGCTCAGTCATTAAACAGTCCTAGTGTGAGTATGCCCCGAGAGGCTCAAACAGTGTCCACTGTCCGGTGATGAGCGTGATTAAAAAAAAATCCCACCCTGTACTATCATAGCTACTCGGTGCACTTCGGACGACGGCCTACTCGACGCAAAGAGAAGGACAAAATGTAGCAAACGAGTCAGACTTGGACAAACCCCCCCCCGCCTAAGACACCATTTTTTCATTATCCCCCCATGCTCCGCCCTTCCTCCACCCCTTTGTCCTTGCAAACCGCTCCCACTCCTCCCCCTTGGGAAAAACGACCACAGCGTACTCAAACCCTGTCCCATCCACCTGTACCTACATACCAAAGCGACTTCGTACGCCGTACAACCTCTCTCTCTCTCTCTCTCTCTCTCTCTCTCTCTCTCTCTCTCTCTCTCTCTCTCTCTCTCTCTCTCTCTCTCTCNCTCTCTCTCTCTCTCTCTCTCTCTCTCTCTCTCTCTCTCTCTCTCTCTCTCTCTCTCTCTCTCTCTCTCTCTCTCTCTCTCTCTCCTTCTTCCCCTCCACCTTACGTGCGTACCTAACATCAATCATCAACCTGATGGTAGACATAGCGAACAAGTGAATGAACGAGTGAGCGAATAACAGTAATACGTCCACCTCTCTCAGAGAGAACGATACGCATAGCAAGTAGAGCACTTGAGAAAAAGAGCCCTCTCTTTCGCAACGCAACTGGCTCCAATATTGGTTCGATACCGAGCGACCGATAACACAGGAGTACAAACCCTCGAAGCAATAACTGAGGATTTGGGGGTCGACGAGCGCTGGCTCACACCCATCACCAAGATGCAGTTCGATCTGTAACGACAACGCAAACTCAGAAAATATGGCGCTGCATCCTTCCGTGTTCTAGTGGTAAAGTCGTTCTCGTTTTGCAAATTTGGTGATTAGCGAGGCGAAGCGAGGCTGAATAACTATAATCGATCTTCATCCAACGGATATAACAGACTACCAAGGTTCTTTAAAGCCCACTGAACAATCTCGAGGGGGAGGACAAGAAAAAACAAAAGAAAACGACAAACCTTTAATCCTGTCCAGATCTCCCTTGGCATGCACCCAGAACAACCAAGAAAATCAGACGCACTAATCCCTCAAGAGGGGGGTTCTCCCAGAAGAAACGACCAAGAAATCGACACCTTCTGCAACACCACCGCTCAGCAAGGTAGCAGGCACAACTCCTCAGCGTGACATCATTCTTCCCTTCCCCCCTTCCCTTCCCCCCTTCCGTTCTAACGGACTAATCCCAGAGGGAGGTTCGCCATTAGACATCACAAACATCATCTTTTTTCCATCTAAACCCATCCTCCGTGCGTCCGTTTCGCGGACGAATCTTTACGTTCGCACCCCCAAGGAAATCAACAACCTTATTCCACATCACTGGTCAGTAAGCCAGGAGCCTTGTCCGAGACCTACACCCGTATCCAGAAAGAAAATAGCAATCGCAAATGGCGCCACTCGAACATCGCCTTCATCCTCCCGCCTAGCAGTCCATCATGTTCCTCCTCGCGCCTTCATGTTCTCCTCCCACCTCCTCGTGAATGCCACAGCAGTCCATCATGTTCCTACATCGCTTCGCTCCTCCAATCTTCGTCTTCGCCCTCCCGCCTCCCCATTCTCTACTTCGTCGTCCTTTCCCACCTAACACCTCTCCGTCTAACCCCCCCCCTCCTCCCACCTCCCGCAAGCCTCCCCTCTCCTCTCCTTCATCTCGCCAGAGGATCAGGATGCATGGAAGGAGTCGTTCTCTCAAGACTCTGTCGTCCTTTCAAGTGTAACCCCCTCCCGCCTCCTACAAGTCTCCCCTCTCCTCGCCTTCATCTCGTCAGAGGATCAGATGCACAGAAGGAGCCATTCTCTGCTTCGTCGTCCTTCCACGTCTAACTCCCTCCCGCCTCCCGCAAGTCTCCCTTTACCTAGCCTTCATCTCGCTCAAGCATCAGACGCGTGGAAGGAAAACGCCAAACGGACGTCTAAAGCACTAGTTGACAAAGAAAAGACGGGTGAGAGGAGAGGGAGGGAGAGAAAGGGAGAAGGGGAAGCGGGGTAGACGGGGAAGGAAGCCCGAGCAAGTGCTGACTTTATCGTAACAACAACCAAAAAACACGGCATCAGTTTGCCCCCTGACGCCAGCAAGGCACCCATGAGTCACAAGTCGTTGATATCCCGAACTCAACACTTGATTTTTTCCATCCATATTTCACGGCACCCACATTGCTTTTCAAAAACTTCACATCAATCCCCAGTCTCCTAGAATCTTACCTATCTTCAATTACTCTCCCCGCATCACTGCATTCCTGACCATAATAGAATTCCGCTCTCAATCGAAAGCCGGAAACCAGACTGCAGAATCCCCAACCTGTGCCATGAGAGGTCGACCTCGACTCCCCTCCCATCGACACTCAAATGCCAGCGGACACTTGGTCGGTCGAACAGAACAATCGGCACATGACTTTCAAGCCATAATGCCTCTCAAAATGCCATTGCTCTCTCTCTCTCTCTCTCTCTCTCTCTCTCTCTCTCTCTCTCTCTCTCTCACGAGACTTTCAAGGCATAGTTCCACTTAAATTGCCATTGCTCTCTCTCTCTCTCTCTCTCTCTCTCTCTCTCTCTCTCACACAGCTCACGAGACTTTCAAGGCGTAATTCCTCCCAAATTTCCAGCTCTCTCTCTCTCTCTCTCTCTCTCTCTCTCTCTCTCTCTCTCTCTCTCTCTCTCTCATTTCCTCTTCAATTGCCATTGCGCTCTCTCTCTTTTTCTCTCTCTCTCACAGCTCACGAGACTTTCAAGGCGTAATTCCTCCCAAATTTCCAGCGCTCTCTCTCTCTCTCTCTCTCTCTCTCTCTCTCTCACAGCTCACGAGACTTTCAAGGCGTAATTCCTCCCAAATTTCCNNNNTCTCTCTCTCTCTCTCTCTCTCTCTCTCTCTCTCTCTCTCTCTCTCTCTCTCTCTCTCTCTCGCAGACACACGACGTCGCCATTAACACATTCTGCGTCGATTCTCGCAATCCGCACGGACAACAGATCGAGTGATCAGCTCCTGTACAAATCGTCCCGTATAAATTACCAAGAGGAGAGCACAGTTCCTCCCTTGAGCCTTCACAGCCCTCGTTGCACGTACTTTTGCACACTTCTAACGGCACTACATCCTACTTCCCCTCCCTCATACGACTCACTTTGCGTCGTTCTCACTTCTGTCACTAATTCGACTTCGATTAACTCGCGCTAGCCACGAGCATTACGAGCGGATCCCCTTCCCTGGCACATCCATAATCTGAGCAGACCGATCACTAAGTTCCCCATTACTGCGGCTAAATAAGTTACTCGTTCCCGAGATCGCTTGACAGTATACCGATGCGGTTGACCCATCACTAAGATACTGCCGACGCACACGCCGATGCATACACCACTTAAAGCCCCACCAAACCCAATTCACGTTACTTTCGTCTTATTGCAGATTAGTTTACTTCACGCAACCCCTCGCACATCCATCCAAATACCAAATCCACCCACACGTACACTCACATCATAGTCAGAACAACTCTCAACTCTCTCATCACAACAAGCACTCAGATTACGCACGCAGACGAGACACGTCACCAAGCCGGGCATGTGCAAATGTGAACGCATAAGCGGCTTGTGATCTGACCAGACACACAAGCCACCCGGACTTCGACGCATTACGGTATAATCATCGAGATACATAGCAACTCACCTGCCCAAAAAAGAAGCCATTCAAAATCCACGTGCCTCACACACTACCGCTGTGCGCAGCAAGGAAGGAAGAAGCTAGAGCCGTGAAGAGGCTGGCAGGGAGACCTGGGCAAAGGAGAAAGTTACAGAGCGGGAGGAAGGGGAACTGGCGAGGGGGAAAGACAACTTTCCCGCGCGCAGTCAGATCTCGCACATGGACGTCGTGACCTTCCCTCAGCAGGATAGCTTTACTAAGACAGTCAGTACACTTACGAGTACACGTGTCGATGCTCAGGAGACTTAAGTACGCAGGACACTAAGTTCGCGTGTCGGAACTCAGGACATTAAGTACACGCGTGATATTCAGGAGCCTAAGAACCCAGGACACTTAAGTACGCGTGTCGGCACTCAGGAGACTAAATACGCAGGACACAAAGTACACGTGTCATTACTCATGAGACTACGCAGGACACAAAGTACACGTGTCGATACTCAGGAGACTAAGAAGGCGTGCGACATACAAATCACAGACAAAGAAGGGTAATAAGAACCACTGTACAGAAGACATAATTAAGGTACATAAGAAGTCGACATCGCTAAGTACGGCGAATGAAAATTTAGCAGCCACGCAAACAAGCCAAGGCAAGCCAAGCCGGCCGAGAGTGACCAGGCGACTCACCTGCCGGCGTCCGCATCGGCGCGCTGAAGAAAGCAGATTAGCGCATCCAAAGCCTTTTCCTGCGCTGGAGCGTTCGAGTCCGAAACCGCCTTCTTGAACAGAGGCCCTGACCCGTTCATTTCCCACAGACAGACAAACAAATTAATGTCAAAACAGCAGCCGCCACAACCACGTGTCGGGCGGCAAAGCTCACAATGTCACTAGGTCACGCGCTTCTCCCGCCACGTCATTAAGTCGTGCACCCCACACCTCACCTTATGTCGTCACCATCACAGCGCGCAGGTTGGCAGCATAGATCACACGAACACAACTTTTTATCCTCACTGTTAGGTACAACTTATCGCAAGGCGCCATCATCACTACAATCCCCCACAAAGACACACACGACGTCGGCAGTTCCGACAATGCCCCGCTGTATTCACACCGCACAACACCACCCGCAATTTACCACCCCCCCTCTCTCTCTCTCTCTCTCTCTCTCTCTCTCTCTCTCTCTCTCTCTCTCTCTCTCTCTCTCTCTCTCTCTCTCACACACACACACA